ATAATATTTGGACCACCCCAAATGACACATCCCCACACTCTGGAGACTGTGCCCTGCAAGGTGACATACAGTGATGCCCAGTCCAAACCCCAGTTCTGATGCCACGAGCTTCTGCTCGCAGGGCTTCCCTGAAGCCTGTATTTCAAAGGAGAAATACTGCGGAAGCTCGTGGCATCACCGGTATTTGGACTGGGCATCACTTTATGTCATCTTGCAGGGCACAGTGTCCAGAGCATGACGATGTGTCCTTTGGGGTGGTCCAAAGATTATTTTGGGGTGCAGCCTGGCCCCAGTGTCTGCTTGTGTGATTGTCCTAGGGGCACTGCACTTTGGAGCAGCTGGCACCAGAACCCTGCTTTGGACCAGGATACAGCATATGTCCCCTCTGAAGGGGAGAGTCCTGTGAATGTGGGGGTATATGATATGTGGTGGTCCAGACGTTATTTTGGGGTTCAGAGCTTTCCAACTCACTCTCCTTAGTGTTTCTGTGAATGACTACGCCAATAAGGAACCAACTTCAGCCTCCTGTTCCGGAAGGAGATGAATTCATAATCAGCTTAATACAAATCATTTAGTACGTTCCTGGACTCTCCTGAGTTAAGAGCACAAAAATTGCTGTGTAAAGAATGCCGTCTGTCTTTTCTCTTGGTCCCTTGGCTGCAACTGCAGTGCATTATTTTACCCCTATCCGCTCCCCCCCCCTCGGAAAAACCCTCCCACCACTGAGACGACATGAGGAGCAAAGCACGCACCCCCACCCAACAGTTTCTTCCAAGCACAAGATTACAGTATCCCCCGTCAGCCAGAAGCTACCCAGACGGAAGAAAACCGCTTAGCCGCTTCCCCACCTCCCTTAGGCTGGCCTCTCTGGCCACGCCCCGTCCTGTGATTGGGAATTTATGTTGTCGGCGATCTGATTGGTTCACCGGGTCAACCGCGCGGTTTGAACCAAGTAGGAGAAGAAAAGGTTGTTTAGCGAAGCGGTCGCTTGTGGTTTTCACAGAAAGTAGACGATCGGGTGGAGGACTAGCCGGACAAGGGGCTGGGTAAGACTCTGGGGTTTGCGCCGATTTTGGTCTCCCGGTTCTGGAACTCGGGGGAAGATGTCCTTGCCTGGCCCATTTGTTGCCAAAGCCGTGTGTTTGCAGTTTTAGACGGATCTTATGAATGCAGACCCTAGGTTAGGGGTTGCGTCTGAGTACTGTGAAAAGCTCCTTTCCTGCACGAATGAAGCTGCTGTAACTTCCAAAGACCACAAAAAGGAAGGGGTAGATCTTGAGGCCAAGCTAAACAGAAAGGATGTTCTGCTTTTAAAAACTGGTCGTTGTGATCGTCTTGTTTGATTGCTTAAATTATACAGGAATGTTGTTGTTCGTGTAGAGTACAATTCACCTGTCTGGCTAATATATATTATTGAGTCTCGTTGCCCTTTGTCTCCACGGTCGAAGCTGTGTGGGGACGGTATTACTATCTAGCCACTTTGTGCTAATGCTGATTTACTCTCCTAATGAAGCTCAGTTTTGTTTAACTTGAAATTATAACAAAAACAAGATTCAATGAAGCCAAAACTCCTTTTAGTTTAAAAAAGCCTTTTAATTTTTTTTCAGGCTTGTTGTATAGCTCAGTGGTCTGGTCTGCAAACATTCCAGACCGATACCCACAGCTAACATGAGGCCCACTAAATTGCAAGTATATGGCATCAGAGTCACATGACCGGAAGAGGAGCCCTTCACAATTGAGTGATCACCTTACGATCCTGTTGCTCCATGTGTAATAACAGAAGTTAAGAAACAACATATAATAGACCTGCTAGATGCAAGTCCAGTAGTACCTTAGGCCCACAAGGTTTGGGGAGTATAAGGTCCCTTTGTCAGAGACCATTTCTGACTCTTGAAAGCTTATACCCTGAAAACCTTGTTAGTCTGTAAGGTAGTACTAGACTCAAATTTAGCTGTTCTCTGCTGACCAAAATGGCTACCCTCTGAAACATATAATAGGCTATTGCATCTTCAACAAAATAATTTATATGGATAGTCATAGATCTCTGCCTGCTATTGATTAGAGGCATATATGTTTGCCAAAATTACTGTGGAATAATTATACATTGGATTTAATATATATGGTGTTAAGTTTTGTGGGAGCATATGCAATAGGAATTGTACCTAATTTCAGACAAACTACAATAACCTCAGTTTAGTCATTTTAGCTTCTAGGGGAAAATCAAGCCTGAATTCTCTGTAGAAGCTAAAATGTCTAAACTGAGGTTATTATACTTTGGTCACATCATAAGAAGACAAAACTCACTGGAAAAGACAATAATGCTAGGAAAAGTTAAAGGCAGTAGGAAAAGAGGAAGATCCAACATAAGGTGGTTTGATTCAGTAAAGGAAGCCACAGTCTTCAGTTTGCAAGATGTGACTATGATAGGACATTTTGGAGGTCCTTAACAGTGTTGCCATGAGTTGGAAATGACTTGATGCAATTACAGACAAACCAAGTAATTTAGATGGCTATCCCAAATAAGAAACTCTTGCAAATATCTGCACTGCATTCAGGTACAACAAATAAAAAGGAAAAGGTTTGTTATAGCCAAAAAAGAGAAAAAAATTAGTGGCAACTGGAAGACTAACAACATTTATTTCAATATGAGCTTTCATGGGTCACAGCCCACTTTGTCATGTACGACAATGAGCCTTGGAAATCCTGAGGCTCATAATCCTCTCCCCACCCCTATGTAGCTCAGGAGTTTAAGGCTTATGCATTCAGTTTGTCAAAATGCCTTTCATCTCCAAGCCCAGTATTAAAGTAAAAAGGAGCCCAATAACTTGCAAAGTTCCTCCCCATAATAATGGTTTGTCATTATGTTTGAACGTAGCCATAATGTCTCTCCCTTTTTAAGAAACTAAAGTTTTTTCCTCTTTTGACTGAATGATTAAATCCTTAATAAATTTCTGACTCATTTACTGGGATTCTAGTGATAGGAGAAATAATATATTCTTTTAGCCTAATATGATACATGTTTTTTAAAAAAAGGATAACTGTAAGGTACAAAAATTATAAAACAGTTTAAAATCAAAGGCACTTGTATCAGTGCCCTTCTTTGGGCATGCAAGTGTCTAATATGAGACATGTTTTTTAAAAAAGGATAACTGTAAGGTACAAAAAGTATAAAACAGATTAAAATCAAAGGCACTTTTATCAGTGCCCTTCTTTGGGCATGCAAGTTAGTATTTAAATCAGGGTTTCACTATTCAGTTTGTTGTACCCTGCTGTCTTTGTTAAATCTCTCTCTCTCTATTTTTTTTGCAATGCATAAATTTCTCAGACATGGAACTAATTTCCCACCAGTTTTGATATCTCTACCCACCAGTTTTGATATATCTATCATTTCATACTTTTATCTCTAGAGTTTATAAGAGGTTACCAAGATCTATCTTGGTGGAGGGGTTCTTTGTACATACAGAAGCTGAGAACATGATAAGTGTTATCCTAATGTTACCTGAATCTGAACCTATTACTAAAGCAACATAATCAAGATATTAAATAAAGGTTACCACCTTCAGCTTTTTCTGATATACTCTTAGTTTTAATTCTGCCTTTTTCTATTCTACTTGATCTTCTAAGACTCTAGTCTCTGTAGTTACATTAAAGATATCACAAAGCTTTAAGTTGGGTTATCTACTAACATTTCTTTCCAATCCTGCCAGATTTCTTCCATGCTTTGTATCAGTTGCCCTTATTTTTCATGTTCTACAGATTTATATTCAACTATTTATCAACCTTGTGCTTAATTTTTTTAAAAAATCTTTTATTCATACTTCTAAAAAGCTTTCTAAAGTTTTTCTCATGTGCCTTATGTACAGTTAAAAATACTCCCCTAATATCTGAAAGACTTAATGCTAGATTTATTAGCAGTGCAAAACCATAGTATTGGAGGAGGCGATAACAGGCAGGCCAAGGAAGATTCCCCCCCCCCTCCATCCCTCACCCACATTCTGTTTCCAGTGTGCTTTATATATTATGAACTTAGATTATTTTTATTGCATCCCATCTCTGTATAACAGGAGGTGTTTGATGAAGTAAGGGAGTGATACAGAAACTTGCTGTAGCACTAGGATCCAGGTAGGAACCCCCTTTGCTTTTACATGTGATGACTCTCCTATGGCCTGGGGGAGATGGGCATTCTCTAGGTGCCCAAACATCACTCCTAATTTGTAATTATATTGTTGTTGGACCTGGATGGCCAAAGCTTGAGTGGATCCTCTGCTTCCTTTTTGACTTTTTCCTTCTTTTTTGTGCATCTCTTGCAGTAACAGCCAGTGGTTGCTATGGCCCAAGGACTTGTCTCCCCCGGAGGGCTGCTGTCTGATGAAGAAGCTGCAGCCTCTCCTGTCCTGGAATCCACTGCAGCAGAATGTGGGGCTGGCTTGTGTAGAGCTCTTCTACCAGATTTGTCTTCCATCTCTTCAAGCCATGAAGAGGTAAGAATGACATTACGAGGCATAAAATCTTTGCCTCAAAAGGCAGTTGGTACGACTTATACTGTGGCGGGAAGCCACTTAGCTTTTCGTGATGAGCCTTGTTCTCCACAATCAGCTCTGAATTCCTAAGATTACTGTTGATATGGGCTGTGAGCTCTTATGAGCAGCCTGGTCCTGTTCGTTTCTTTACTCTTTAGGTTTTGCAACTTGTTTCCCTGTTAAACCTCCAGCCACGGAAACCTGGGGCAGCACTGCGCTCAGCTACTGGGATTTCCTGGTAGTATGAGGGTAGTTTTTACACTCAGGGGAGATTCTAACATATTTCCCTGTAAGAATATGGGGTCTATTCTGCCCTCTCTCTCCTTTTTTTTTGTCACTGGGAAGTCAGTCTGTAGGTGTACCAGTTGCAAGTAGATACTTGTTTAGAATGGGCTTGAAATGTGATACTACTTATTCTACCCAATTAATGGGGCTTTATTATTCAACATTTTAAAATGGGGTTTTATTATTCAAAATAATAAGAAAAACCAGGACAGTATAATATGACATACCTTGGTGTAAGTCTCATGTATATCTGTGATTTGTCTGCAACTTTTTCTGTATAGGCTGCTTCTGATGTCAGCGGGAAAGTGAAAGTGTATGCAAGAGTGAGGCCCCTAAATCCAGCTGAGGTGGAGAAACTTGAGGATCAAGTGAGTGGCTGGGACAAAGCAGAGTTGGTAACGGCATCACATGAGTTCTTGTGTAACATGGAAGGGAAGGATGTTACTGAGCAAATGCAATATGGCTGCAGTAGTGGCCTTTCCTACTGTGGCAGATAACGGCAGATCTTAAGTATTAACTCTGCCTCTTAGGGCTGCATCTGTATTGAGGATTCCCAGACCCTTTTACTCAAAGCACCCAAGGACTCCTTCACCATGAAAAACACCGAACGAGGAATTGGTCAGGCAGTGCATAAATTCACCTTCTCCCAGGTATGTGCTTTGATCTTGTTCGGGACACACGGGCCCGTAAATCTACTAGACCTCCAGGATGGACAACAGTTCTCTCCGGTAGATTTGAGCCCAGTAGCACTTTAGATACCAGCAAGATTTTCAAGATATAAGCTTTTGAGAGTCAAAGCTCCCTCCGTCAGATGCAAGTTTTGATGGAGATCTCTGAATCCTTAGATCCCAGACAAAAGGTAGGAGGGCTGTTCAGCTACCCTCTGAATACTAAGGAGGTCTCAGATAGTTTTCTTGATATTTGCAGAGCTCTAGCAATGTCAGGCACTAGAGAAGCAGTGGGAAAATGGGGACTAACCCTAAGCTCCTGATTTTTATTTTTTAAAATACACTTTACCCTAACAAAAGGGTGTGGATTTGGGTTTGCAGGTCTTTGGGCCAGAGGTTGGCCAGAAAGCTTTTTTTGACACAACAATGAAGGAAGTAGTGAAGGATGTGCTCCATGGGCAGAACTGGCTTGTTTATACCTATGGCGTCACTAATTCAGGGAAGACCTATACTGTCCAGGGTAAGAAGCATTCAGTCCATTCTGGTGTGAGCAACAGTCTCTGCTTAACATAAGCTACTTGTCTAGATTTGTCAACTCACCTCCTTTCTTTGCTTCTAGGAACTGGAGCTGACGGGGGGATCCTTCCTCGTTCTTTGGCAATCATATTCAACAGCATTGGGACACGGCTATACCAGGCCACAGACCTGAAGCCTTTCCTCTCCTGTGAAGTGATCTGGCTGGACAGCAAACAGGTTCGTCAGGAGGAAACCAAGAAGCAGGCGCTGTTGTGTGGCAAGAGGAAGGAGGTGCGTACCCCATGCCCTTTATGAAGTCTGTGGTAACAAAGAAGGTACCCCATTCAGGGACTCAGCGCTCTTCCTTCTGCCTTTGTAGGAGGAGTTGCTTACTTCTGTGAATAAGAGTCACAGCACAAGATCCTTGCTTCAGCCAGGCACAAGTGCTAGCACTGACAGTGGTGTTGGTGGACTCTCATCGACCTGTCACTCTACCAACCAAACGACCTCTAACCTGCTAGAAGGTATTCACTGTCCTGAATCGCTATTTGGGGGGGAGGGGGGTCTTCCTCTTTTTAAAAAAATAATCGAGGTACAGAAGCACACTAACAGAAACAGAACCTCAAACCTTAAGCCCTCAAGCAAAGAGTGAAGTGAAAGAAACTCCAGCAATTATAAAGTCCAGGGAGACTCCTTATCTGTCATTGGGCAGATTGTGGAGACACACTAATATGCTTTATAGCAGAGGGCCAGGTGTGTGCAGCCTTTGGATTTCTTCTGTTCAGTGGCTTGTAGTTTGCAGTGAAGCCATGCTATCATGGATATGTCCCACTAAACATCTGGGAGCAATTTAAAAAATATGGAATCCAGGACAAATCTATTTGAATTGTATAGGATTTCCTAATCTAGAAGCTGTCCATTTAACAATCAGAGGTATGTGGGGAGACATCACAGGGGAAAATTGTTCCTTCATCAGTCACCTTATGTGCTAGACTGAAGAAAAGCAGTTGTGGGCCGCCAGGCCTAGTTAGAGGAGTGACATGCCTTTGGGATAGATTTTCAGAAGGTCCATCTGTTGAGGCAAACTGTGTTTATTTAAGGTGCTTTAACCTTAACCACCAACTCCATTTGGCTTTCATCAACAGAAACCGGTCCTCACTGGGCTGACTCGGATAACATCTCACTGGTGGCTAATGACGATGTGCAATTTTCCATCTGGGTGTCCTTTTTTGAGATCTACAATGAGCTGATTTATGACTTGCTGGACATGACTGTGGCCGGTCCATCCCGCAAGAGGCCCACACTGCGACTGTGTGAGGATCAGACTGGCAACCCCTACATCAAAGGTAGAGAGCACCTTTGTGGTCACCTTATTGGTAATGTGGGCTGTATAACAGCACAAACTCTTCTGCTGAGTTGTGATGTTCCTGTTGGGTTGAACAGTGATTCATAGGTGTTGCCTTGTATTTTGTTTTTATCCCACCCTTCCTCCAAGGGCTCAGGATAGCATATGTGGTTGTCCTTTCCCCTTGTTTATATCTTCACAAGAGTCCTGGGAAGTAGGGTAGCTTGTGAATGCCCAGCCTGAGGTCACCTCGTGATCCTCGGTGTCCCAGATCCCGGACTACACCACAGGGGACGTCCCATAGAACCCTCCTCTTTCAGGTGTTTGAGCTCTGCTTCCTGTTCCAGATCTGAACTGGATCAACGTTCAAGATGCTGATGAGGCCTGGAAACTGCTGAAACTGGGCCGTAGAAACCAAAGCTTTGCCAGCACCCACATGAACCAGAATTCTAGCCGCAGGTCTGCAGTGGGTTTGGTAATGAGGGGGTGAAGCAAGTCCTTTGGGATTGGGAAAACAGCCTCTTTGCTTGCGGAAGAGTATAAGGCAGCAGTCCCAGGGCGACTGCTGAGAAAGAGTG